CAGCTTCCAGTGATGTATTCTGCAGCACTGTTAGAAGAATGTGAAATTGGGAAAAAATGCTTTATTTTGGTTTCCATCTTTTGTCGCTCTTCAAAGAAGTTAGAATTAAAGATGAGAATGCCTTGTGACCCTAATTATAATAACTGTAATATTTGGTTCTGATTTTAAGACTATTTTCACAGGTTGATGTAAAGGAAAACTCAGGGTAAATTAATTTTAAAAGAACTGAGTACAAAGGAACCCAAATAAGAAGAGCCTCAGCTTCTTCGAGGAGCTGCCAACCACGGATAGGAGTACTTGGTTTGCTGTTGTTTTTCTCTGATACTAATACAGAATTTGGATTCTGGGTTTATCCTCTACCAGGCATGGGTTATTTAAAAATTAATTAATTACTTTGAAAAGTACAGGTGAACAGAAAGCAAAAAAGCAAAATTAATATCATTAAACAAAAATCTGACTTTGTTCTCTTGTGTTCCAGTATGGTTACCCAGTGCTATCATTTGGTGATCACAGGTTGCTTGAGATGCCTTTATGATTTTTGTTAAATTAAGTCAAATGTACCTTTTTTTAATTTTACTTGTTCTTCTAAGCTGGCTATACCTATATCTTACTAAAGGGTCATTAAAGGAAAAAGAAAAGGAAAGGAAGATAGATATGTGTTTCTTTCTGCACATATAACCTACCTCAGCCATGTTGGATGAAGGCTATGTTTAGTTAAACCTCAAATTGGTCATTTTCATAAACTGCTAAAAAAATGGATTTCTCTTGGTGTTTCCATGGGTCATTCACCAAGCAATAATACCATCAGGAGTTACTGATCCCCTGGGGATAGCAGCTTAATTACACAGAAATTTTAAATTGAGAATCGTGTTATAAGAGCAGGCATAGAAACTGTCCTGTCTTTGGGTGGTTTATTATTAAATTTAATACCTCATATGGTCTTTTTTGTTTTTGTAGATTTTAATTCTAAGTCGGTCTGGTAAAATGTGAATTATTGTATTATCACAAGTGATAAAATGTGTACGATTATGAGCATTGCAATCTGCAGGTGTAACATACCTAAAGCAAGATTAATAGTATCAAGCAATTAAACTGAAGCTATCTTTAAGGGGAAAAGAAAGCCTTAATGCTACCCTTAAGTGTAAATTAAACTCACGCTAAATATTTTTAACTGCAATAAAAGCATGTTAATTTTAGGAGTGACTTCTTTATAAGAACTCATTTCTTCGAGTAAGTTTTCCTTTCTAAGAATACAAAAGCTTACTGAAATAATTTCTGTTGGTAACTCATTCCATAAAGAACGGAATTTTTCCTTGGCTTTTAAGCTCAATGAAGAAAGCCCAAAATAGCACAGGAAATTTTGTATGTGGTGAATATATGTATGAACTAAATCCAGTAGGGATTAAAATGATTAAATTATTGATAAGGTCATTGTTGGTCCCAAAGCATTCCATTAGTCATACAGTACTACTTAAATATTTTGAGAATTTGGCTTTAATTTTCCTATAATCGCATATAAAATAGAGGAAACTGGGTTTGCTTTAATTTTATATCCTTGCATATACAACTTACTAGCAGTCTTATATAAAAGAAACATGCCAGGCATCTAATAATAAATTCTTTTCCTTATGTGTTTCTGTTTTTTTTTTCCACTTCCTGAATTATTTTTATGCCGCCACTAACAAGATCACTGCCTGTACTTTCAATTTAGCTACACCTTTGCCTCTCGGTAGCATGACGGGTGGCTTTGCAGTGAGTTTATCAAGACCTTGGTAAACACTTAGAGCACTTAGCAAAGTGTACAGAGCTCTTTGCAAAGAACTTTCTGGATATCTATCTCTCTCTGTCTCTGTCTCTCTCTGTCTCTGTCTCTTTCACACACACACACACGCACGCACGCACACACACACACGCACGCACGCACACATGCACGCATGCGCGCACGCATGCACGTTTTGGTCCTTGCCCTGGAATTATTTAGCAGTGTACTTGGCAAGGTGAAACTTCAAAAATAAAGCACTGTGAAACATTTATAAAGCAGCACATCACAGATTACACATTGAATCTAAAAGTACTGAAGACCTACGTTCTATGCAGTTTTGATGATATGTTTTATTCAATGTAGATTGTGAGATATTTACAGCTGTCCCTCCTGACAGTGCCACAGCCGAGATGGTTGCATGTAGGCATGAGTGGGGTGTCATCGCCGAAGCTAAGCTAACACAATCCTAATCAGCAGGAAAGTTGCGTGAGAAGTTTGGGCATTTTGTTATAGAAATAATAGGAATGTATATCTTATTTCTTTAAAAAGAGAAGCTAATTTTTTTTTTCGCTCTTGAAGCACCATCTGTGATGAAACTAACAATGCAACTGTCCATAAGAAAATGAGAGGACTGAGCCTTAAGCAAGGGGCAAAGAGATAGTATTGTATTCTCTGTGGTATCTATTAACTTTCCTCAGTTTTTTTTTTTCTTTTTTTGCTAAATGATGTCTGTTATAGCATGATGGATGATGTCAGCTTTTTTCAACAGTCATTTTGCTTTTAATAAGAGATAGCAGGAAAAACACACAGAACATTTTTCCTCTACACATAAGAAGGCTAACGAAAAGTAGTGTCTTCCAGGAAATACCAGCCATAGTTATTAAATAGGCTTACTCAAATAAGGAAAGTATTAAAATAACCTCCATGAATGAAAGAAGCAAGTTCAAGGCATAGTACCATTTTATAGCTGTAATTCTTTACAACATTGTGATTGGACAAGTTTATACATTATGCTTATGCTTACCTCAAGTGTAGCTAATGCCATCATATAGGTGTGATTCTTGAATTTTATACTGGCATCCAGATTTGAACCAGGAAGGATCAGTTAAATGTCAGAATTTTATATTTCAAAAATGCCAAGATTTGCCTATCCATCAAACCAGGATAATTCTTATTTATTTTTATTTTTCAGCTTTATTGAAGTATAGTTGGCAGATAAAATTATGGTATTTAAAGTGTACATTGTAACGATTTGATGTATGTGTACATTGTGAAAGGGTTTTTCCCATCTTGTAAACACATCCATCATCTCACATATTATATTGATTCATTCATTCATTTATTTTTGGTGAGGATATTTTAGTTCTCTTGGCAAATTTTGATTATATAATACAGTGTTATCAACTACAATCAACATGTTACACTTTACATCCAGTTTTTTCATTAATTTTTCTTCCAGTTGTATCAGCTGAATAACTGTAAATGACCACATTCCAACTGTTTTACTCATTTAATAATACATATGTAATTATCAGTTTAAAGATCCTGTTTTTAAACAGGTCGCTAAAATGGTTGAATCCAGGTGCTTTTTGATTTGCTCATTCTCTGGTTCCCCTGATCCTCCTTGTGAGACTCGTTGGTTCTTTGTCATTTCAAGAAGAGCAACCTATTTAATTTAGAGATATTTTTGTACTTCTTAAAATAGTAAATATTGGCATTTGTAATTTGAAAGAGTTAGAAGTGTGTAGAGAAGTAATATTTTTCCTGAAGCCACATAACTACAAATAATATTAGACCAAAAAATATATATATATATATATTTAGACACCTCATATTAGCAGTGGAGTGAGAATTGAAAGATAGATAAAAATTGTAAATGATACTGTTACACTTTTAAAAAGATAATGTTACTTAGGCTTTAAATCTTTTTCCTGAAAAATTGAGTATCATAATTTAAGATGTAACTGAAAATACAATTTAATCTGTTGATTAATTTGATAATATGAATGAAACTTAAGTATTTGATCATATGGTTCCTAATAACTGTGATACATATGTGTGATTATACACTATATTGTCACAGCTTTGACTCGTCCTTAAATATAATACTCCCTAAAGAAAGTATTTGAATTTTTTGGCGGGGAGGACTCACTTTAACCCCACAGATGGTTATATTTGGTTTCTAATTTTGCAAAGAGGTGATCTCTTTTAACTATTTTTTAAAGAATTTCCTCTATTCTGTACTATTTGGAATACTCGAAATTTGGAATTTTTGTTTCTTTGTTATGTGCCAGAACTACATAGACTTCTAGCTGAAATTCCTGGAGAAAGTCTTGTGTAAGGAAAGTGTAGCCATGTTATATAAAATTAGAGGTAAATGGATAAAAGCATATCAAAGTGAATTATTTTAATTTTCTTGTAAGAATTACTTATGAATAGCTTACAGGCATTTACTGAAAGTTTAAAGTATAACTGTTTATGACATATAATTATATACAGACCTTGTTGAGTATTCTCATAAGCTGATTATGTCTACTTATAGCACAGATGTCCCATTTTCCTGGCCATGTATTTTAGAACATCCCTAAAAAGATAACCTCACTGATGAGGTATATCTATTCTAAAGTTGAAAATAAAGTATCACTATTTGTTTTGCTTGAAATAACTATCTATGCTTGACCAAAATAAAGATACCTGTTTTTTCCCACATTTAATTTTAAAATGAATATTTTAAAGAGTGAAATGTGAGAATGCAGTTTTCTGTTTAGCTATAGTTAATTTGTTGTACATACAATCATTTGCAAAATTCCAGTTAACAACAATAACAACAACAACAATAATAAAATCAGTAGTTTTCATAAAATTTTGGAAAATTCTATTTTTTAATCCTAACCTTACATATGATGTGACTGTCAGACCAGTGTGCATTCACTGTCCTTTTTGCATTTTGAGTTTGGGATTTCTGTTAAATATGAAAGATTTCTACCCTTTTCAAATATTCTGCTAGTGTTTTATACATATAGGAATAGACTTTAATGATTGTGGCCCAGTTATAAAATTACAAAATTGATCTGAAAGCTTGAAACTTGGATTTTACTGTATTTTCAGTATGTAATATTTGCTCAGTGTGATCAGTTAAAAAATTATAATTTTTTTCACAGTTATAGTAGAAAATGACTCTTCCTTATATTACTCTCAAAAGTACTATTTTCTGAATTTTGGTTTTGTTTCTCTGCAGACGGTGGGTCCGGCTACTGTTTGGACGAGAGTTCCCCCTGCAGGATCTTCTGGTGGTCTGGGATGCCTTGTTTGCAGATGGCCTCAGCCTGAGTTTAGTTGATTATATCTTCATAGCCATGTTACTCTACATCCGAGATGCTTGTAAGTGTTAATGACCTTGCCTACATTCAAGTAGGTGGTCCTGAGTTTTTAAATTGTTTTATCTTTTAAATATATTTTATCTTTTATTCTGAATTACCATACCTACCTTTTTATAGTAGGTAATATATTGAAGTTTCAAAGGAGCATACTAAATATCTTTTTTGTTAGTTAACTATGTACATATTGGGAGATGTGGGTGATTTTATCCTGAGGGAATTGGAATATTCTTCAGAACTATTTTTCCAAAGACTTTACTCCTGCTTTAATCTCCTCATTACACACATTTGTGAAAAGCACATATGAAAAGCCAATATTTCAGATATGTTTAGAGCTCCACCTTCTGACAGGTAGGGAGTATTCAAAGATATTTATCAGGCGATTGGAGCTATTTTTGTAGTATCAACAACTTGCCAATAAAAAATAAATATTACATTTAAAGATATTTTAACTTCTTCTCAGTTATATTTTGGCCAAATGTATTTCTCAGTACATTGCCAAATGGGAGACGTATTCCTATCTCATCAGATCTACCTTGGGATGCTTGCCATAGCTGGAAAGCCAGTGCCTGTCTGTTGTGAGTACTCTTGTAATCTTCAGTTTGAAGAAAATACCAGAGCATGTTTTAAATTCCGAAATACCTCAAATTGTTTTCCTTCTCAGAAAAATAATCACTGTTCACAAAACAAGATTTGTAAGCCAAAGTATAATTAGGAAAGACTGCACAGAGTGATGATTAAATAGGAAAAAAAAAAAAAAAAAAAAAACTATCATAAGAGTAGGACTTTGTCAGCAGAACATAAACTGTTTGGAGTCATTCATGATCTCGACTGTTCCATTGCTTTGTGGCTCTCTTTATTTGCTCACTGAATACCAGTTGTGCCAGATGCTCTTCTTATGCCTCTGGTAACGCTAATAATATTCTTTAAAATTTTAGATTATACTTTTTTAATTCCCCCAAAATTACTTGAATGGATAAGTGACAGGAGCACCACATTTTATCTAAAAATTGTGAGTTTTTTCTGTGCCTTGAAGGTCAAATAGTTTGGGTTTTGACAGACAAAGTGGAAAGTTCCTTCTTTCTGAGTCAGAGCTAATCATATAAGAACATGGAAATTATAAGAGGTAACATCTGGAAAGTAGAGAAAGATGTTTGGGTAGTGTTGATGGATACTAAATTTTAGGATATTCAATACTGCTCTCTCATTTTAAAGTAGTATGAATTTTTTTTTATTTTTTATTTTTTAAAATTTACATCCGAATTAGTTAGTAGTATGAATTTTTGAATGTAAATTAAAAAAAAAAAGGAATGAGTTTTACTCTTTTAGAAAAAAATGGTTTGGGATATTTTCACAAAATATTCCAATGCAAACAACTGTTGAAATATATTCTGATTTTCTGTAGTCTTAAACAATTAAGTATTTGCTCTTTTCTTAACTTTGGTGTATCACAACTGTATATTTTGTAATTTAATCATTCTGTCTCCTATGCTGAGATCTACTTTTTGAAATCAATTTCATAAAACAGGTGAATTTTTGGCCGCTGAAGCCCTTACACACTTTCAGTCCATCCACTGATGTTATAAAATATATGCGCACATGTGGAAAAATGCAGGAGTAGTGAAGTTGTTTATTCCTTTCAATATTTAGGCCAGTTTATTTTAATTTGCTTGTTTAAATCCATAAGAGTGGATGAGATCTCCTAAGAATAGGGTGACTATTAAGTTTTAGGGTCATTGCCCTTATGCTCAAGAAGTTTATCAACTAGCAGGAAAGACTGACATAATTAATTTCAAACTAACATATCCAGTGCTGTGGTTGAGGTGTGGATGGGTAGTATGTAAGTTTAAGGGAGAGGTACTGAACTCCCCTCTGGGTCAGCTGTGAGTGACTAGAGAAAATGGTGTAAGTGTCAGCAAGTTAAATAAGGGGATCTGAATTTCAGGTGGAAGGGACAGCATGAACAAATGCTTAAAAGTGAGAAACAGCTTAATGGGGGAGTGTGTGTGTGTGTGTGTGTTTGCAGGTAATTTGGTATTAGTGTGCAAATGGAGATTGACAGGTTTTGAGACCAAAGAATCGTGAACAGGGATAGGATCGTGATGAAAGTCTTTATCCTGTAAATAATAGGGAGCTCCGGAAGGGTTCAGAGCAGAAGTATCATTGTTAGATCCCTCTGGCGGCACTGTGGAGAACAGACGTAAAGGAGACAAGAGTAGAACAAGGAAATCCAGATAAAAGGTTATGACAGTTGTTCAGGGAAAAATGAAAGATTAGAGAAGTCTTCAAAATTAAATCAGCATGTCTTGGTGACTAAATATGGGTGAGGAGGAATAGGAAGTCCAAAATAGTCCCCAGTTTGGGGAGTTGAGTGACTAGGTAATATGTGTAACTTGGCTAGGAAATGAGGATTAGCATGTTTTAAGAATGGAAATGATTAAATTTTGGCCCTACTTATTATGCGATCTGTGAGAAATCATAACCTGAAGATTTGGAAAACAAAGCTCAATGTCAGTATCAAGGCTACAGATTTAGTTTTACAAATGTTTAATAGGTATGTGTTAGTTAAAACCAGAATATTGCATGTGACCTCAGCAGGGTGACCATATATCCCGATTTGTATGGGACAGTCTTGGTTTACACCTGCTAATGAAGAGTAATAATTACTAATACTGCCCTCTTGTATTCTCAAAGACCCTCCGTTAGGATCATAAGAATTACATGGTCAGCCTACCTAAGGTGGGTGCTTATAGAAGGAGAAGATAGACAAAGGTAGAACTCTGCATTTAACATCAGTGTTTAAGGCATCAGAGAAGAAAGGGCTTGTGTTGTAACCTCACAAAACTGTGTTATCTGAGCCAGGGGAGGTAATGGGGGTTGAGAGTGCTGAGTACGATAAGGTAAAGGGGGAATGTCCATTCACTTGGCCCTGTAGGGGGACAATCATCAGATACCCTTGCCAGAATGGTTTAGTGGAGTGGTAAAGCAGAGGTTGGATTGCGATGGGTTGAAGAGTGACCAGACAGGTAAAAAGTCTAAGAGCTTTCTCTATAGTTTTGTTGTTGTTCCCATTGCTTTCTATATGTATTACAGTTTCAACTTTAAAAATCAATAAAAAAGAAAGTATGTAGAGATAGCACATGTAGAGTAATCTTTAAAGACCGCAGAGCAGGGATGAAGAAAGATGTATAGGTAGGGGTTAGTGGAGGGACAAGGAAAGTTGGATGGCTGTCTTTAGAATAAGACGAGAGCTCACTGGAGGCTGGAGAGAACCAACTGAGGATTTACTTCTCAGCCAGTCTTAAGTTGGTCCTTCAAGGTTCAACACTAGTTTCCCCCCCCCCCGCCCCGTTCCATTGATGAGATCTATGAAAAGATAAATTATCCTGTTTACTTGAAGTTTTTGTTTATTGTTTATTCTTCATACCGACTCCCCTAACACCCAGCAAGAGGCCGGATTTTTTTCTGTCTTGGTTTCCCTACCGTATCCCAGCATCTAGAACAGGGCCTGTTATGTAGTAATCTTGATGAGTATTTTTTGCGTGAAATGATCGAAGAAACAAGGGCTCAGAGGCAATGGAACGATGTTAGGAGTCCTATGGAACAGGAATAAAAGTTGGTACAGGTCCTGGATGAAGGCACTAGGCAGGTTTCAGAAGTAAACTAGTTGATTGGTGGAGAAGATGGGAAGTGGAGGAATTGCATGTCTGCTACAGGAGGAGGCAAGGTTGTCTGCTGTGAGTGAGGCATGGTAGGATTAGGGAGCTTAGGGGAATGCCTGGGGAGTGTGAGAGAGATGGCTGACCATGGACTAGGACAAGCTGGTCTAGCTGTTGAAGATCCTGTCCTGCAGAGACTAATAGTGGGCAATAGAACCAGGCCTCAAGGTTAGGATTTTTGGAGCCACACACTGCAGTCCAGGCATACAAAGGAAGCAGATAATGATCTAGGCTCCAAGCTAGGCCCACATGCAAATGAATTAGGCAGAACTGAAGGGAAGCAAAAGGGTGGAGGGTGTTGAGTGCATTTTTGAGAGAGTGATTTGGAATGTGTAGGGAGGGAAGCATGGCCAGGAAAAGACTGGGGAAATCAGAGTATGAAGGGATTCAAGGTAGGGTGTATGAGACTTTAAAGCATCAGAGGTGTGGTCAAACAGAGGATATTGAGCAGTTATGAGCAGTTATGGGTGTGACCCGGATGGTTGGAGTTAGGTAAAGGGAAGGTAAGTAAGTCATTGGAGAGATCAAGAGATTGTACAGGAGGTGGGATTTTTCTTGGTCCTCTATGGACACTTCACCAAGAATCATGGTAGGAAAAGATGTAGAAGGGAGCACAGTGGGCCAGACTTTAAAAGCCTCAACTAAACGCAGAAGAACGACCAAGAAAACAGCTTTTATTCAGTCATTTATCAAAGAATCAACCATTCAATCAGAATTTACTGAGTGCCTGCTATATGCTTGCCATCATGGTGCATAGATGGCAGTGATGAAGGAGCATGATGAAGGTTTAGACGTATGGCATGAACTTTTGAGGGAAAGGAGGTTTGATGGTAATATCAGAAGCCATGGCACCCCTCACCTCACTGCTGAAGGTTGCGGAGAGCTGGGCCCAGAGGGAAAGGAGCTTTTCCTCAGAAGAAAAAGATTAAAAGGGAGAGGAATAGCAGAAAGAGGACACAGAACAGGACTGGGCAGTATGCGTGGGAAGCAGTACTAATAAATGAGCTTACATTTTAGGCCACGGTGAAGGACAAGAGGAAGGTAGACAGTTTGTTCCAAGTGGAACTTTGGTGTCAAGTTTTTATTCTATCTCAGTGGATTCTGAATCATGATGCACTGCCTGGGGCATCCAGAGTGATGATGTTCAGTTATAGCTAGTAGTTTCAAGCCCATTCATTCAAAAAATCCTAAATGAATTCCACTACCTGAGGCTATGGGCATTGCACGCATTCTTTTGGAGCTGTAGGTGATATAGTTGTAGCTCAAAGAATGGTGCGCTTGGGGA